TCACGTCTTTGGATGTACAGTAGTAAAACACCCAAAAATGTGCAGTAGAATTGGTCATGTTTGCATTTGCTTCTTTCACAGGCCACAATTTTAACCTTGAAATCAGGATTAGGCATAAAATAATGTTTCCAGAATCATTCATACAAGTGAAAATCGGCTGAGAATTGAACAAATAGTTATAACCTGGCTCAGTGTAGGATAGGAATCATGTATTCATGTCAGTTTATCTTGTGATTAAAGGATAATACAAGACTTCTTCGCCTTACAAATGGTTGTCAAAAGCAGAAATGCTATGAAAAGCACATTTTATGAGAAAGTGGGACATGCTAGAGCAAAACGAGCACTATTTTTGAAATCGGCATCACAAAATTAGTAAGAAACGCGTAGGATTGGATTTCATTCAGCTAAAATGATGCAGGGTGGTGTTGTCTAGTGAAATAGATTAACTATTGAGAAATTGTCTTTCATTTGAACTAAGCTGTATTAGATGCACTTTTCTTTTGGCCCTCTCTATATAAAATCCGTAGCTATCACACACAGTTGCTGTGCTGTCACTTGAAGTCAAAAGATATTCAAATCAATTTAACTGCTACCACCTCGCTATTTCTGCAGTTATGAAGAAACAACTCAACTCTGCTTAGATTTCGATGGCTTTGTTTGCTCCAAATCTCTTTGACACCTAAAGACTGACTCTTAATATTTTCCAAAAGCCCACTGTTTGAGATGTTCCATCCTATCTAGTATTCAAATGGCTGCTGAATGTATGCGTATTATCTGTCGGCCATGCTCTCTGTGGTCAATGACATATAGGAGAGAGCTTCCTCATCTCAGTCAAACCTGAGCACTACGGGTGTACTGTGAACAGTGGTTTCCCTGCGTATGGTATTGTCAGTTCTTTCATTTTTCTTAATTTCGGTTTTGTTTCCTTCTGTGTGCTTGCGACATTCCTAAAAGCAGCCTGTGAAATGACACCGTTACAATTCAAAGATTCTTTTTGGGTAAGTACATGAGTTGAGCTATTTTGACAGATTAGATTGAATGTTGTTGTCTGTTAGGGCTGACATGACTGAGGTTAACAATACTGCATATGGTAATATGTCTTTAACTTCCAATAATACACTAGCATCACAATACCCTTGGTCCACTTATTAAATCTCAGAATTTTTTGTGCACTGCCATTCTCGTTCATTTGTATCAGGAATTACTGTTTCTTTAAATAAGACATTGAGGGTATTTCAAACTAAGAATGATTTTTTGTTTTTTAAGATTTTTAGGAATAGGATTTTTGCCTTTTTTAACAAAAAATACTTCTCTACATTTGAGGGTTTATATTTAGACATCCTCATATTGTGTCATGGAGATGATCTGTGGGCTTCCTGTTGAGCGTTTAACTGTGTGCCCACTCTATCCTCTTTTTAGCTTTGATCTTGTATTGTCAGAGCATCTATCTACAAAGCAGCTTCTGGGTTGATTTGCCTGTCAAACCATGCTAGTGCTGTTCAGTGTTGAAGGTGCATGTAAAATATATTCTACAGTTATGTAAAAATAGTACTATTGTTTTCTTTCTGTTGCAAATGTAAGATATGTTAATATTATTAATATAGCATCCCATGTCAATAAGCACAGTAAATGATTAAACTGTTTAACCACCTCAGACAGTCTGGTACCACATATTATTTTTTGCATAGATACCAACTGCTTCAAATAAGGCCTAATTCAGGATTAAAACTGAAATGCACAGAGATATATCGAAATGGAATCTCTTTTTTCTTTTTCAACCTAATCATGTTATAATAAACAATCATGTTACTGGAGAAATATAATCTAATCCTCATGGGTCCAGGGCCCAGAATTCACAAGTAACACCGGATATGAGACTCTTATCCAGAGGCTATGTGATGGGCGACGAGCTTGCAAAGATATGGAGGAGCTCTTAAGAATGAGGTAACAACTGAAAATTGCATATTTATATTTATTTCTACAAGACGCACTGTGTAGCATTGGTTAAGTATTGAGCTGTATTGGATTGGATAACAATGCAGTTTTCTACTCGTAGAGCGATGGCAGAGGAACGGTACGGCAAGGAATTGATTACTATTGCACGCAAGACAGGAGGGCAAAGTGAAATTGGGTAAGAAAATATTGTATGTATTTTTTTTTTATATATATATTTATTGCAGTATAAATTGGCTTCTGGATTTAACATTTTGCATACAAATAATTAAAGGTTTATGAGCATGAGTCTTTTTTATCTTTGTTTTTATTGCTTTGGTATTGTAGTACTTTGAAGGCATCATTTGACCAGCTAAAAGCCCGTAAGTAACACTTCAAATATATATTTGCTAAGTGCCACTGAGAAATATATTAAAGAAAGTAAGGAATAAACAGTATCAGCTACATCTACTAACTAAACCCAAACTTACAAGATCACTAATGAATATGCTGTTTTCTCACCTAGAAATGGAGGACATCGGAAATTTGCACATTCAGCTCTCTGGGATGTTACGAGAAGAGGCGAAACGAATGGAGCAGTTCAGAGAACGACAAAAGGAGCAGCGAAAAAAGGTTAAACGCCATGTGATGCTTTAATTAATTTACATTTGCAGAACCGCAAACCACTTGCTCACATGTTTATTTTATGTTTAAAATTGGGTGAACAAAAACTGAGGACTGTACTTGTGTTCAAACCAAGATGCTTCTTAACACCTGTTACCTATCAAGCACTTACCTATCAAATGTTTACTTTTTACAGTTTGAAGGGGTTATGGAAAAGGTTCAGAAGACCAAAGTGTCATTATATAAGAAAACCATGGAGGTAAGTCTAATTTACTTTAACATATTAGTCACTTCAGTTTTGTAGGCTACTCAGTTCATCCTGTATTTGCCTAATAGAGACTGAAAGCAGAATATCAGGAAGAGGAAGGGTGAAAAGAGAGTGATTTAAATCATCAGTGCATACGCTAACCTCTGTGCAGCAAGTGTGCAGGGCAGAGGGGGGGATGGGACTTTTAAAATGTTGTAACTGTCATCTCAGGAAGTCTCACTTCTCTACTAGAAGTATATTTCCTTCTCGCCCGCACACTTTTGTTGGCTCCCACTGACACAGCCTGTTTTCTCAATGTTAGGTTTTCTCTCTTCCTCATATATTCACAATTTCCTGACAACAGACGTATTGTATTGTATTGTCAAGAAAACTCGTGTTTCTGTTTTTCTTGGTACATTCAAACAAATTCAGAAAGCAAAGGCACACATTATCGTATAGCATTCTGTTTTGATAAACAAAAGAGTGAATGGGAATCTGATCTATTCAGATCAGGAACTGTAAAGTTATTTGTGTGACTTGAGGTAAGATGAGGGTTATGATTTCTAAAGGACAGGAAGTTAGTCCAAACCTCAGAAGATATGCTTCATAATCTACCACCATTGTTTATAAGCACACTACTGTAGGTCAATGGGACTGTCACTGTAGTGAAATTTATATTAGAAAGTATATTGTAAATGTACAGTAATAAAAACTCAAATGAAGTTCATTTTTTATATGTGACCCTGGAGCACAAAACCAGCCATAAGTAGCACAGGTATATTTGTAGTACATTGATAAAAATACATTGTATGGGTCAAAATTATCGATTTTTCTTTTATGCCAAAAATCATTAGGATATTAAAAGGTTAGTTCACCCAAAAATGAAAATTCTGTCATTCATTCATGCACAATTCATTCACCCTCATGTCGTTCCACACCCCTAAGACCTTCGTTCATCTTCAGAACACAAATTAAGATATTTTTGATCAAATCCGATGGCTCAGAGAGGCCTCCCTTGACAGCAATGCCACCCAAACTTTCAAGATCCATAAAGGTACTAAAGACGTCGTTAAAACAGTCGACGTGACTACAGTGGTTCTACAATCATTTTATGAAGCGACGAGAATACTTTTTGTGCACAAAAACAAAACAAAAATAACGACTTTATTCAACAACCTCTTCTCTTCTGTGTCATTCTCATACGTTGTTTACGTCCAGCGCTTCCAGGTTCTACGTCAGAACGCCGGCTCATTATTGGACGGCTCCTGTATCAGCATCACACGCATGTGTCTCGCAGCTCACATGTGCAGCTTTGGCCAATAATGAGCCGGCGTTCGGACGTGGAACACTGAAGCCTTCACTGTGCTTACTGCGTTAACCACGTAAGGATAATGACAGGGAAGAGAAGAGATTGCTGAATAAAGTTATTATTTTTTTGTTTTTGCGCACAAAAAGTATTCTCGTCGCTTCATAAAATTATTGTAGAACCACTGTAGTCACGTCGACTGTTTTAACGACGTCTTTAGTACCTTTATGGCTCTTGAAAGTTTGGGTGGCGTTGCTGTCAATGAAGGCCTCTGAGCCATCGGATTTGATCAAAAATATCTTAATTTGTGTTCTGAAGACGAACAAAGGTCTTAGGGGTGTGGAACGACATGAGGGTGAGTAATTAATGACAGAGTTTTCATTTTTGGGTGAACT